GACATCGCATACCAATCTATACAAAAACATATAAAAGTGTAGCAAATCCTTATATATGGTAAATATAAGGTTCTTTCACTTTGTTCATGTTAACTTTAAAATAAAAAAAATCAAATAAGTCCAATTACATCATATATTTTATAAATAAATAAAACTTTTAAAGCATTCTTCTAATATTAATCTAGATTTTCTCTTGGTGACATTATTAAACATATTGAGAGAGTTTTTTTATTCTTGATTTAAAATATTTTATTTTAGTTAGAAAAAGAAAGCATGATCATTTTATACTTCTAAATTTAACCTCATATAATATAACATCTCATCTTTAGAATAATTAAACTATTAATATTTAACATTATGTAATACTTAATCTTTGAAATTATTACATATTTTTTATTTTTAAATGTATTTCATGAGTTATTTTCTTCTGAGAACTAATTCTTAGAATTCGATAAATTTAACTTTATGTGACCCATAATTCCTATAATTGAAAAAAAAAAATGCCAACTACATCATCTTGGAGAAGTATGTCTGAAACTTTCATTTGAATGAAAATAAATTTACCTTTTAACATATAGAGTTGGAACACTTGCAGAATAGTTTTGTAACTTTGCGATCCCAAATGCTCCTTGGCCCTTCCTTTTCCCACCACCTTCTCAATTTTTAGTGATTGTAGAGTGTCTTTGGTGTGTCACAAAAATTAACTATGATGATCTCTATCTACTTATTATCTTCATATTTGGTGATATTTTTGGTTTATCTTTTAGGGTTGAAAATAGGCCTTACACTCTAAACCTTAAACCATTTTTCTATTAGACTTCAATTAAAATGTTAATTCTCATCTTAGAATAATCTCCCAACTATATTTATTGTTAGAATGATAATTAAATGATCATTGCATAATCTTTAAACTATGATAAAAATTTATTCAAATGTTATTTGATCTTTTTAAAAAATAATCAACATATTTAATGAGACTTCAACCTAAAATTATGCAATATTCAACCAACTTTGATGCATTATAATTTATTTCAAGCTTATCTAAACCTTATTTAAAATTTGAATCATCTTTAAAGCTTCATTGATCATGTCACAATATCTTTAAAGAAGGGTTAGAAAAAGGTTTCTTTAAATAAGATTTCAATGCATTGAAATAATTTTTTTCATGATCCAAGATTATTGAATAGTTGCATATATGATGGTTCAAAGATAGTTCTCTCTCTCTCTCTCTCTCTCTCTCTCTCTCTCTCTCTCCCCACCGAACACACACACCTCTTTTAACATAATTTCATTTAGGATTTTTTTATTTGTGCTGTTATGCTATGTTTTCAAATGTCTAATATGCTCTTTCTAGTTTGTGAGGCATTACCATGCATTGTTAGATATTGAGATGTGGAGTTATGGAGAAATTGTTTAGAAAATTTCTTGTTGATGATCTCATTGGTCAGGTTGAGAGATCTCCTTTTGATCATTTATTCAAGGTTTTTTCACCCTCATTCATTAATTGTTCATGATTGTTGAGTTTTCTTTAGTGATTAGTTTTGAAGGAGTTCCTAACTGACGATGAGTTTTGCTTTAATGGCAAGAAGTGTCAAGCTATTTGAGAGCTACTTCAGTGCACTGACTAAAGATGATCTATAGAAACTTGAGTTATGATTTTTTATAGATTGCATCACATCTCGAGTTTGCCAAGGACATTATTGTCTTCATTGAAATGGTTCTCATGATCAAAGATGAGTATGCTATTTTAGACATCCATGCGGTAGGATGTCATGGAAATGAAACTACAAGGGCTAACAAGGAATGTGGCATAGTATAAGGATATACATTAGAGAAAAATGTCCTAGCACAATATATTGTATCTAGATTTGCAATATCACTAAAATGTTGATCTTATAAAGCTATTCTAAATCTGGGGGAAGGATGCAAAGTCGGAGTAGCAATAAGATGCTCATGAGTAAGGATTTCTCATCATGACTCATGACTAAAGATGTAAGTGTATATTTCTTTTTACCATGGATTGTGTTTAAGGCGGAAGATATATAAATGACTCATTATCACTTTGTACCTGATTTTTTTATAGGTAGTTGTCCATCCTTTGTTGGTGCATAGAGATGGTAAAGAGAACTTAAATAATTTCATTATATATACCCCCTCTCAGCCTATCGTAATTAGGACTATAAAGCAGAAAGTGGTAAGAGGCTAAATCTAACTAGAGAATAACCAAACAAGATTAGAGAATAAATTGGATGTTCTAAACAATCTTTTATAAAATTATTAACAACATTGGAGAGGAGGGAGGAAGAGGAGGAGAATAGCGAGAAGGTTCCTGTTACAAACCCAACCTTTAACTCGGTGCAGTAGGAGAAGGATGTGTGGAAGAAGTTGGAGGTAGAAGTGAAGGAGTTAGGTGATTAACCCCTTACCATATGTGCAAGAAAGGTGGAGGAGTCAAGTGATCAACCTCTTGACATTAAATGTATAAATTAAGAAAGGAAGGGCTTTGATGATCAACCACTTGTCAATATATATACAAACAATAGATAGTTAGTCCCTCTATTATAATTAAAAAAGCAATGCATAACTTATAAAGATTAAAAAAAGATCATAAAAGAGTAAGAAGTACCTAATTGGGTACTTCAGAAATTCATCAAGAAAAAATGACAAGAACACCGGGAGCCTCAACTTTATTTTTCTTTGGAGAAGAGCCATTTGCTAATTGAATGGAGCATTTTCAAGGCATCAATGGACAACTAGTAAAGAGATCAAAGAGGCATTAGAGGTCTGCTCAAGAGAGGATGGACACAAACATGAGTGACCTCATGGAGTGCAGCTGACTCCATTACAACTACATTGGCCAATTCAACACATCCCTAACAAATATATTTGTAAACTGGCACATTAATGCCAATCATAAAATCCAACCTTCTTGAGGTCGCCACTATACCATAAGCTACTAAAATACATTATTGAGGAGGAAGAAGTGGATGAATAGCTCACCAACACTAGGAAGTCTTATTACCCCTTCTCTTTAAGCTTTAATTTAATTATTTTATTCTATTTTTTTATGCATCGGGGGCAATGCAAACTTCAGGTTTTGGGGGTGAATTCTTTGTCTTTTATTTCATCTTTGTATTTTATTAGATTTTGTTGTTTTACCATTGCATATTTGCTTTTAGTTATTTATTTATTTTAGTAGTGCATTGTTTTTCTATTAGTCTATTTTGTTTGTGCTGTTGTTGTTGTTATTATTATTATTATTATTGAGAGAGAGGAGTAGACTTATTTGTTGTATTGCACTTGTTATTTTCTTCTCATTTACTATTTACATATTTTATCAAATAAAAATTGGCTTTAATTTACCCATTATTTAATAATATTTGTACTAATGAAGTAGAGTTATTAATCATTTCAAATTCTTGAGGTTTCTCAAATGCTTGTAACTAGTTTAGTGCATTGCTTTTTGATATCAATCAAACAAATCCAATTCTTCTTGAATTTACATTTTATAGAGATTGTATAATGCATCAAAAATATTGAACAATGATATTTTTAAATTAAACTTTAATTACCCATATTATCACAATATATAAAAATAGCATATAGCGAGCTTTTAGACAAAGAAAAGAATATGAGTTGAGTGTATTAGATAAATAGAAATAAAAATTATTGTAGTTATTTGAATACCTCTCTAATTTGAAAGTGTTTATTAATTCAAATGTTTATTGCAGTCCAAATAAATAGATATGCATTGCCATGTTTTAATCAATTTGTGTTTTGTTTTGATTCTAAGTTTTTTATGTTCTCTTTTTACTTTACTCAAGGATGGGTTATAGCTAAAGCCTTCTTTAACTCAAATGTACCATCTAGAGATAGGAAAGTTGTGTAATTATGTTAATAAGCATAGGAATTTGAGAAAAAAAAGGTAGGTTCCACCATTAATTTGATTAAAATTTTCTTATAACTCATTAATTGTATTGCAACCAAATTCCTAGATAGAACCAATATTAAATTCAATACATAGTCCTAATCATTTGATCATTAGATTTAGTATTTTTAATTTTATTGTAATAATTTAATTTGTTTTTCTTATCATAGATTACAATTCCAATTCGATCAATAAAAAGTGTAAAACCAACATAGTTTCAGTACTTATCACGTAATCTTGCATGTATGTTTGGATGTAATATTGATGCCATGAGTTAGAGTTGGTATGAATATTTTTGCATCAACCTTATAGGCCAATGTATGTGAATGTTATTTGTGAAGGTGGGCAACAAAATCAACAAGCATTCGTATTATGGGGTTATGGCGGTTGGAGGATAGTAGTCAAGGGATAGTTGTTGGAGGGCCATAGTTGGGTGATCTTCATTGGAGGATCATAGATGGATGATGGTGGTTGAAGGATTATAGTTAGGCAATGACGATAAGAGGATCATATTTGAGGGATGATGATCGGTGAATTATAGTTGGATGATGTTAATGAGTCGAGGCAGTTCAAACTCGACTCACTAATGAGCTCACGTGTTGAGCTTATCGATTTTCGAGTTCGTGCTCGAGCCTGTAATCGAGCTTGTTTACTAAATGAGCTCAAGTTCAAACTCAGTCCAAACCGATTCATTAGCTCATCGAGTTACTTGATTTTAAAATATATTTAAAAATAATAATGTATCATTTTCTTAAGAATTTTTTAAGATGACAAAAATTTGAGCTTTATAAATTAGTCTTGTTTGAGCTTTTTAATCGAGTTGAGCACGAGCTTTTTAAATGAGTTTTATACAACGAGTCGAGTTTGAGCTCAATATGAGCTAAACGAGCTCAGCTCGATAATGATGCTACTCGATTTGACGTGACTCGTTTACACCCCTAGGTGATGATAGTTAGAGGGCAATTGTCATGAGATGTTGGTAGTAGGATCATAGTCATATGAATGTATTTAGAGGACTAAAATCAGATGATAATAATCATAAGATCGTAGTTGGAAAATGATGATAGATTGTGCATTAAGATGGGGAATGATAGTTTGTGGAATGTGATTTGGTGATGATAATCTAATGATCATATTTGAATGATCTGCGAAATTTCAAACTCAAGCTTCCACTTATAAATTCTGAGAGCGAGGGACAGAGTCAGACTCAGAGAGACAGAAAGGAGAAGCATGGAGGCTTCGATCCACGCATATGAGGACATTCGTAGGAAAAGAATCGAAAAAAATCTCAAGCAGCTTGAGGTGAGCGATATTCCGAGGAAATTTTTCCCAAAAAAAGATATTCCGAGGAAAAGAACAGATAGAATGGTTTTATCACGAATTTTTTCCTATAGATGCGTCTATTTTTTTCTTCATTTCTCGCATGCGTCCATCCAAAATTTATCTTCCATAGAGACCCTTTATGTTTTCATATTTCCAGTCATTTTATTGGATTTTGTTTTTGGTATCCGCGTTTTGATTTTTTTGTCATTTTTTGGCTAATAACGTAGAAATAGATGGTTTCTCGTCTCTTGATCAACTTAAGATTTATATTCACGTAGATGGCTAGGGCTGATCAGTTGCAAAGCTGTGGGATGACGGCTATCATGGAAGGAAATGAGGATTTACATAAAGTTTAAAAAGGCTAGTGTAGAAGAATAAAAAAAAACAAGAGAAAGAGAGAGATACGGAGTATATTCAATGAACATTGTTGCCCTCTTTATATAGTTATTTAATTTTTTTTATTTCTCATTTTTTGGGAGATTTTGTAAGATATGTTAGATGGTGGTGGGAGGATCTTGAGGTGTACGACACTCGCTCTTTGCTTGTGGTGGTGTAGTGTTATGATGGAAGACTTGGAGGGATTTGGTAGTACCTTGAGTTAGGTTTATGATGGGAGGAAAGGTTGAATACATCATGAGTTTGTAAAGCAAAAGATACTTTTTTTTATTATTTTTTTTATAAAGCAAAAGATACTTATTTTACATCAGTAACTCTTTTAGGGTTTGATCAAGCTAGAGTAAGAAGGAGAGTGGTTCCAAATTGCATTCAAGCTTCCTACCTTTCGTTGGAGTGGTTGACCATTGTGTTTTGGAGGGAGATTTAACTTCATTGTAACCACATGTTTCTTGCTCACCAAGTCAAGGGTTCAGTCATTTAAAGAAAGAAGGTAGAGTGGTCTTGTAGATTAAGCACATGGTAGAATCCAAAGTGAAGGGACAGACTAAGACTTGATCATACTCTTCCTTGGAGATTTGGCATCTTGCTACTGGTGATGAATCTCATTAATGATGTAGTGTGTTGGGCCTGTTGGCCTTAGATCTGATCATTTGTTGGTATGACATGACCTCCAACATACTATTTAAAACTCTATTATGCAGAGTTGAAGTCAACATGGCCATTCTTGAGGTCAGGTGAGAGCTGCTCCTTGATTGAGTGGGTCAACCTTAAGTCCTCTAAAGGTATTGTGCCTATAGTTGTGGGAACTACATACAAGAGGATGATTTCAGCAACTAGCACAAGTGAGTGGAGAGGCACTTGCAATGGTTATTCTCTGTCACTTGCGAATGGGTTAGTTTGCAAATCCCAATGATTTATATTTGCTTGATATGAAAAGTATATCTTTTGCATTGAAAACTAGGCTAGAAAATTTGTCAGCTGACAAATTTAGAAAATGGGAAACTTGCCCAATGTTCTTATGCAGCCTGTTGCATTATATGGTTACAAAGTGTTAGAAATGAATGTAAATTAAATCATAATAACTACCATTATATTCCCATGATGAATATACTTTGCAGAACAAATTTAACATATTTATTATTATTAATGTCAACTTGTTATAGCATAGGGAATGCAGACTATGAAAATCAAGCTTAAATAAAAATGTAGTATCATAGAATGAATGATTTAAAATGTTAGCTAGATCATGAGACCTTATAAGTTAACCATCTACTTATTTATACAACTTACTGTACTCAGCTTCAATCTACAATGGAGTAAAGGTGACAATGTTGACATAGGTGTGAGGTGTTTATTAGGTTCTATATGTCTTAGTAAAGGTGACTTATCAGTTAGGTCATTGGGGAAGGTATCAGATAACTTAGTCAGCTTATCTAAGACCAGAACATTTATGTGAATATCAGCAGGCAAAGATATAACATCCTTCTCAGGAAGGGAAGTTTTATTAGATTTTTTTTTTAGTTCAATGTTTGCATTGGAATCCTCGTGACTAGAACTTGAAGGAGAGAAGGAAAGACCAATCATAATGGGTGTCTAAAACATATGGAAAGGAAGAGGAATCAGCTAGTGAGTCAAATTACAATCCATTTCCTTCATGGCTTGAGAAATGCTTTAGTTTAGAATTAGACTTATGAGTTGTAAGATGGGGCTCCTTATCCTATGGCTTGATAAGAAATAATTTGATGGTTTGTCTTTCTGTTTGACTACATAAGTATTGTCATGATAATAATGAATAACATCCATATCATAAAGCCACGGTCTACCAAGAAAAATATTGCATTGTTTAGGGATTGCACATCACACCAAATTTGATCTTCAAAATTATCTAGTTTAATGGGGAATGGGCATTTGGTGTTCACAAATATAGATGTATTATTGACCCATCTAACATAGAATAATTTCTGTATTATGCACCAGGTTAGCCCTTGCGAGTGCATGGGTGGAGATGAAATTTCTTACTGGGTTACCATCAATTACTATTATGTACTTTTTCTTAGTATAGATGGTACATATGGTAAATGTCCCTACATTTCCAATCCTCAAAAATAGATTGTGTAACAAAAAAATCTCATAACAACCAAATGAAGGGTATCAATATGCTAAACTAATCATACAATGGTTTATCATCCCTAACTTCTGCAAAAATATCATATTCAAGAGTCTTAGTTTCTTGTAAGATAAGATTTATGCCTTACATCGATTTTGTATATACCATTTTTTCTACTAGAAACTTGTAATGCCCTTAGAATTCCTAGAAGGAGGGTGTCAAAAGTTTACTCGACCCAAAACCCGACCCAGACCTGTCCCGAAAAAATTTGGGTTTGGGTCAACCCGTTTGTAAAACAAGTCAGGTTCGAGTTTAAATTTCTGATTCTTCTGAAAATCGTGTCTGTTTCGGGTTGACCCGAAAATCCGAAGTTGACTCGGGTGACCCAGATGTCGTCCACGCTTGCTTTGCAATCGGCAGTCCTGCGGGCTCCTGCCTCGTCGCGCTTAGGTTGCGCGCAGTTGCGGCCTGCCAAGTCGAGCTTCGCCTTTGCCTCACCTGCGGCCTCACTCTGACTCAGTCCCTGTGTTTGGCAAAAGGCTTTCGCCCAGGTTCTACACTGCTACATGACCATGCCCGCACGACTCAGCGACTGTGCCCGCGGAAGGAAGGCGGAAGTTTGGGTTCGTGTGTAGTGTTGGGCCAATCCAGTAACTCGCTCGAGTCTTGTCTGGGTTGGAAATCTTGACCTATTTGCAAAACCGGGTTGGGTTAGGGTCAAACCGTTTGGATTCGGTTTAATTCGGGTTAGACTTGAACCTGACCCGTTGACCCATTTTGACACCCCCCCTAAGAAAGAGAATCAACGGGAATCCTAAGTTGTTAAGTATTTTTAGAAATGTGAAGCATTAGAGAGGCAGAGGTTCTATCATTTATTTTGATTTTCTATCAAAAGCACATAGTAAAAAGCGTTCTATAAGGTCTATGGGTCTAAGAGCTCAACCTCAATCCTAATTTCCATTTTTTTATCTATCAAAATTTTTTTGCCACATTCCAATCCTAGTTAGTACAAATTGTTCTAGCTAATAGATTTTCATATGCGTTTATGTATTTGATTACTTACACTACATCCCTTAACATTTAGAGTGACGAGACAATCATTTTGAAGGTACAAAAAAATTTGCGATGGATGCACTTTTAATATTGATGAATTAATTTTATTATATAATAAGCATGCTTTTGAGATCTCTTCTAAGTGTTTGGTTCAAGTGTCATATTGATGAGGACATCGTCAGCATTTTCGACACGAGTACCATCAGGAGACGCCGGAGGTCGACGACCACGATCATGAGTTTTATTTTGAGTCATTTTATGTAGTAGTTTATTTTATTTTCAGTTTTTTCTACTTTTGCCCTTATGGGTATTTGGTCGCTATTGTAGCCCAAGGGGCATTTTAGTCTTTTGTTTTCTTTGTCATTTGGAGGCCTATATATGACCCTTTTCTTATGTAATAGTTAGTTTTTTGATGAATGAAAATTTTACCACTTATGTTCTCTTTGTGAGTGCAAACCTCCACGATCTCTTAGTGAGTTCGTAGGAGAAGCTAGATCTCTTTGTGAGTTCTAGGTTTTCTTGTTCTAATAGTTTTTCCTTTCTTTCTCTTGAGCGATTCGTCGTCACGGAGATTCGGTTGAAGCACTTGTGGAAAATTGGATTATTGCTCCTTGGATCCCTCAAAATTCTCCCTAAGATTTTTTTTTCTCCCTTGCTCCCTACCGTCGGCCCTCCTGGACAGCCCAGGCTGTCGGCCTGCATCCGGCCCCCCCCTCTCTCTCCTAATCACCTTAATAGCTCCACAAATTCAGCCCAAATCTTCTCCCCATTGCCGCCCCTCTCTCCCTCCTTGGATTAATTTGAAATTCAAATTAAATCCCTCTCCTAAATCACTAAAATCTGAATTTTATTTCAGATTTCATGCATTTGCCTCTTAGCCCCCACCATAGCCGTCAAGGAAGTTTCGATAAGACGTTGGATGCTCACTAGTCATCCCATGGACTACCCGCCATCGGCTACCGCTCCAACGGACTACGCTTTTGTGCGCCATTTGTCTCCTAGTGGCATCGCTCGGTTGTTCTCAATCTTCCTCCATTAAAAGTGCCACCAACAAGAGAGTGAGTGAGAGACACAAGGTGAAAAGTTCTATTTGTTAATTGTGGATTATTGTTTCTCCTCATAGCATTACTCTCTAATTCTATATTGTCAATTTGATATTATCCCGTTAATCTAGTTATAACTGCATGCCTTACTTAATTTCAACTTGATAATTCTGAAAATCTAACTTGGGTAAGCATTAATTCTATAACTAGCAAAGCTTTAAAATCTTATATTAAAATCCCCAAACAGTTCTTGTTTCCATGCATCACGTTTCACATCACATATGAACTTATTAAGGATTAGTATTGCTTTGCCCTTTGAAGCTTTGGCGGCTTAGAGTGCTCAGCTTGGAGAGTACTTGTAGGGGAGATCTAGGATTTGTCATAATATTGAGCAAGGGAGAGATTTTTTAGGTATTATTTACTCAATTTTGTTGTGTCTTGTGTGATATGTGTTAAATTGAATATGAGAAGCATTGCATGTGATTTGGATACTTATACTATTCCAAATTTGAATAATAATCTTACTGGGTGGCTAAGTATACCACAAAGGCCACAAATTAGGACGCACCTCAGGCATTGTGCCATCCGTATTTTGTGTGTAAGGATGTATGAGATCCTCTGGTTCACATCATATAGTGACTTGAAATTTTTGTAGATTTCTATCGAGATGTGTGAAATCTTGAGACTCCTTGGGATGCATAATGAAAGAAGGGGCTTCAAAAATCAGGCATAACGCTGCAAGCTATCTCGAGATGCCAATCTTCTTGTTTTTTATGTCTATATCATCCTCATATTGCATGCATGACAACTATAAGAAGAGATCTCTCTTCTAGGGTTTGCAACTTAAGCTTGGTGGCTTTCATGTCCTCTTAGCTAGGGTTTCATTAACAATTGAAGGAGTACATACTTAGAAATTGGGAATGGTGGTGATTGTCCTTATTTTGTATGCCTCATTTGTGATTTATATATTTAGTAGATCAAATCCTCTCTCCTCTCCCCATGAATGTAGGCCTTGTTAAGTCGAACCACATAACTTTTGATGATCTTTTTCTCTTGTTTGATCTCATTTGTAGTTATTTTTGGTTCATTATATTCGTCCATGGGTTAACATTTGCATTGAAGAGTTTGACACTTTTCTTAACTATTTGTATCGAAAATGGATTTGAAAACTGATGTATCTACCACAATTTGGCCCCCCTTAGGAATAAGTGGTTCAAGCAGTTTATGGTTCCATAGTTTTTGGCTACCCTTCCAAAATGATTTTGTAAAGTTTAAGAGGAGGTGACTCCTAAGATAGATCCACTGTGGAGTTGTATCTCGGTAATTTGATAAAATTTTCAATTTGAGGGAGAATGATGGATGATGTTGCAAGCTCTCACATAAGGGGCAATTGTTAAAGCACACGAAAATTTGGGTTTAGGCCATTGTGGATAATTGAAATATATTTTTGTATATAAATGCAATGCGGTTGGTACTCATTCATATTATTAAAGCTTTTGAATTGAAAAGGGGTTTGACTATTGGTGTTTCTAACCTAGCTTCAGTTCCCTTCTGATTCATTGCCCAACAATTTTTGTACTAAGTTGGAATTTATATTAAGCTTTTTGCTCTTCTGTTTGAACCTGATCGCTCTTGAGAGAAACTTTATTGAGAATATTGAGGCACTTCTAATTATATTAAAGATCAGCCTAAACTTAGGCGTTGATCTGATTGATGGATGGCCACAATAGATTGTATTTGGCAGTCATTCAACTCCATTTTTTCTTAACTTCCTTTGGCTATCCATCTTAAAGTGCTTTTCAATTCAATCCGGATATAGTCCACTCTGAAAAACCGACCAAAATGACATGCTAGAGAACATTCAGATAGTTTTTTTTCTAACACAAATTTCTTTGTTGGAATAGGACCTTGGAATTGCCAGGATCTCTAAAAGCCTTCTTGAAGTTGCAAAGAGGGAGTCCAAACAATTGGCAAGTTTAAACTCCTTGTGTTTTCTGAGTACATGCTGCAATCAACTTAAAACATCCGCCTTATACTGCTTTTACATTAAAAAAAAAAAATTATCTTAAGTTTATAATTTCTATAAATCTCTTGTTCACTGAATGAGAATATTTCTCCAAATATATCGCCAAGGAAAGCACTCCATGTATTCCACTTCTCATTGCATTTTCAGCTTTTGATTTTGTTTCTCATATTTGAGTACCTAAATTTAATTTCGATGTCATTATTTCCAGAGCCTTATTAAAATATAGATGTAATAATATTTATGAATAAGATAATTATGTGAACAGGTTGGTTCATGTACCATAGAACTCATTCCAAAGCAAAATTGCTCCTTACGTGCTCTCTGAAACATATTCATTCAAACAGGGGAAATTTTCATTTATTTAACTGCAGCTTTATTAATCACATGATTGACACATAGTTTGTTCATGGAAGAATATGAGCTGCTGATCTGCTATTTAATTATTTCGTTCTAACTACCATTGTTCCAATCTTTACTAAAACAAGAATAATCTCAAATGTTTCCTAACGAATCCACCGTACTTTGAAATCAATGATAGAAGCTAACTGTAATCATCAATGCCCTATTTTCTGCAGAAAATCCATACGTGTTTCAAGGCAAAGAAGTTACTCGAGACTTCTGAGTTGAGGCGCTCGTCAAGAATCCAAAAGGAAGTCCCTTCATATTGTGATGATGTACGTAATTGCTAATTTATTAGGACTTAGAGAGAATTAAAAGTTTGTGCCAATCATTTCTCATGGTGGTGTATTTATCTCATAAATGCTGAATAATAGTTACTTTGGCCTCCTCGAGTCTAGAATTTGACAATTTTCCAAGGTTAGTATTACACATATTGCTTCCTTTTAAATACCACACTAGTGATGAGTGTATGCATGTGTTTTGATTTTGTATATATGCCCACTGAGGGTAAGGATGCGCTAGGAGTAAGGTTAGGTTGCCATGCGTGATCTGGGGTCATTGGTTTGAATGTTGGTAATGTCTATCCACATTGTAGGGAATACTGTGAGTATATATATACAACCCAATTAGATTTCAATGCTATTACCTTCAAATGCAAGATTGAAACATTTATTTTCTATTGAATCATCAAAATTGGTGCCAATATTAATTCAAGACTTGTTAAGGTATTGGATGGCTCCAATATCATGGGATGGTTATTATGATAGTAAGCCATAGAGACTTTCAAATGATTTGAAATTAAATTCATGCTTTATCTTATTTAGTGGATGATCTAGGCTTTCTTATTAGTGGCAAGAGTAATATGAAAACATTTCTTAAATTTTTTTGCAGTTAGGGGGTATGCTACCCTTACTAAAATATTTTTCACAAGGTTAATGAATGATTAAAATAGTATGAAAATTGATGAAATTCCACAAGCAATTTTGATGTTGGAGATCATAATCAGTGATATGATCTTAGTCTGAGGACAATGGAAGGTTATGCAAGAATAAAATTACCTCTTAATTAAAATAGTAGATATATATATATATGGATACCCAAAACTCAAAAGAATCCCATTGAATTCGAATTTCTGATTTGGAAAAGTCAATTGAACTCAGATTTGATCAATTGGGCTGATCAGGTTTGAAATTGAGCTCGAATCAAACTCGATTTGAGTTCATTTTGGCTCAATCGAGTTAATTTGAGTAAATTAGACTCGAATCAACGCCAATTTGAGTCGAATTAGGTTCGACGGGCTCAAATGAATTGATCGGGTCTAGGGGTGTAAACGAGTTGAGCCGAGCTTGAATAGCAGCAAATTCGAGCTCGACTTGCCACTTGAAAGAGCAACTCGAACTCGAGCCCGAGCTCGTGTCAAGCCCAAAGAATGATCTCAAGCTCGACTCGTCCATTTTCTCTCAAGCTTGAGAGCTTGGCACAAGATCTCGGGAAGAAAAATCGGAAAAGCTGAAACTTTGCTTCGTTATCGCTGGTAAGTGCCGGCTATAGAGAAGAAACCTTGCTCGCTGTGGAGAAGAAAGCTCGCTCGAAAAAAATGAAGAAGAAGAAGAAGAAGGGTGTTGTTCTCAAAGAAGGCTACTTTAATTATGTGTGCTGCTGCTGCTACTGCTATTTTTTTTGGAGAAAATTAGTCTGCTCCAACAGCTTTTTCTTTAAGAAAAAAAAAAACAACTGCTATTTACTTATTTTTAATTTGTACTTTATTATACAGTGTATTAATTACATTAATGCATAGTAAATGTTATATAATTTTTTAATACATAAAATATTTATGTTAGCTTAAATTTTAAATAAGTAATTAATTCGAGTAGGCTCGCGAGCCAATGAGTCGACTT